ATATTGACAATCCAAATAAGTCAAATTTTATTAAAATTTAAGAGTAAAAATACTTTGAATTATCAAGGATTGGAGGAGATCTGAATTACCAGGTCGACTTCTACAATTTAAATTGCCTCCATTACACTACTATTTCTAACGCCTTTAGCGCAAATTCGTTCTCAGCATCTCTTTATATGTTTAAAGTCTCAATTGCAGTGATTTCTTCGTCAGTTTCCACTTCGATAATGTAAAAGACATAATAAGATGCGTAATTGAACTTCTGTTTCTGAGGTACATGTGATTTCTAGAGGCTGATTTTCGCTTCAACGGACGGACAGACGGACAGGACGGAAATTTTTGTACACTTTCGAGTAAATTACAGGCTATAATTCTAAGTAAAGTACTATGATATATGTAATAAACACATTTAATCGGTTCAACACAGTGTACAAACATTATGAGCAATTTTTATTCATTTCAAAAAGATGAATTTTTATATTTCGGTAAAATTTGTGTATTTATGTGTTACATAGTTATAAAATTTATTAAAACTCTCCTTCGATAATTCAGGTTGTTGGGTTATAATTTAACCCTTGTAACTGTGGACTGTATTAAACACTGATTTCTTTGTATATTATGTATTTGTTGCAGTTCTAATTACAATTACTGATTTGTTACTAAGTTATAATGAAAGAAGATATATTTATTGGTTATTTATTATACATGTTGCTTGGCGGACTATTCTTTTAGATGTGAACAACTAGTTCAATTAAAACACTCCGCTACCCCCTTTACCAGGGGCAGCAATCATTACGTGTAAAGCTTAATGCCCTGAAGGTTGCCACCTTCATGGTCAATATAATAAAACGAAAATACGTCCGAACAGCTGTCTATATAAAATTTAATATTGTAGGTCCTTTCTTTGGCCATTTTTTATCGAGTCTTCTTGTTTGGATCATTTTGTTGATGATTTGCATTCCGGCGTTCGCATGTTCATCGATTTACAAAAAATTCAGTACATTTTTAATTTTGATTTTGAATTTAGGTGAATTTTAAGAACCTATCTTTAATGTGAGGTACAACTAGCTATAATATCATGATTTTATTGCGATTCCATTGAAAATAATTATTCTATTCCCATTACCGAGCTTAATTTGCACATCTTGACCGTTTTGACGCGCTCGGTACTTCCATTGCGTTGCGTTTCACAGTATCATTTGTCTTGTTTAAACGGCGCATGATAGCAGTCTGTTCTGGTACTTTTGTGCTACATTGTACAATTATAACTAATTGAGTTAATAAATAAGAAATAATGTCTTTTTACTCCATTCGAACATCTCAAGTGTGTAAACGCACCGCCATTGTGTTCAAAAAAACAGGTTTTAATTATTTATTACAATTAATTGTTATATCTTAAGAGCGTTGCCTTCTCATCGTATGTTAAGCGTGTAATTATGGCTTTTATCTGTGAAATTTATACTATTGTCTAATGAAATTGAAGAGCTAGATTGATTTATATAGGGATTTTTAGGTGATATTAATTATAGTAATAAATGGAATGCTTAACGTTGATTTATATGGTTTAAAATGATATGGTATACATATAGATTCAATAAATAATAAAAAATATTTAGCATAATTTTTTATGAATGTTACATAAATTAACAATTAATCACACACAATTTTGCAATTCATTATAGCGCGTTTAAATAAAGTTTGCAAAAAATTTTATGTTTCTCACGTGAAATACTGGGAGTGAACTGCTAAACTTATTTTGTCATATTTTATACTTTTGCTTCCACTTTTTACAAATACAAATTATATATGCTTTTACAAAAAATAAATTAAATTAAATCCGATCCTTGTTATCCGATGCTCTGTTGTGTTATGAATTTTTAATTTTTTATCATCAAACAATGTGAAATGTAATTTTCTATCAATTCAATATTAGGAATCTTTGTACGCCAATATGCCCATTGCTACTCAATATTCATTAACTACGTGTAATTTACCAAACCAAGACATCGATAAAAAACGTGTCAATAAAAAATAAAAATTATAATATTGGTGTACATAATAATACACGAAGGCACAAATATAGACAGAAAAATACTCGTCATAACTTACATCTTAATACGGTATATTAGAAAAAAAACTTGAAAAATACTCCGAGATGTATCTAATTATACGGTTAAGTAAGGAAGAAACAGAACGCGTTCACACCATTATAGCCAGCATCGACGTTTCTCTCTTTTAACAAAACGATTGATTGACTGACAGCACCATCAATTAGACATAGAACACAAATAAATATGATAAATAAAAATAATAACTAGGAAATAGCCAACAGAAATGTACCTACATGATAACGGATTTAGTTGAAAATAAAGCAATAGCTCTTGGTTAGAATTTTAAGGCTTGGCTTACGTGGTAGGACTTTTTACCGGATCGTAGACTTTAACATGTTAATCGCCTAAGAAGAATCGTGTCCGACGCTAAGAAGTTTTACATGAGCCATGTCAGACATATATGTCTGACATAGGTGATTTGGAAGAAGGAGAAAAAAGTTTTAATTTAGAGCCATATCCTTGATACATTTTTAACTAAATTATCTAATAACGTTACCATGGTCCATGTGAATTTTTTCTGATTGACAATTGTGGCGATTACGGTATTATTGAAAAATCAATTTTTAAAATTTTTATTCTATATTTTGATGAATGAATGATTTATATTGTTAAAAATTGATTGATAGAAATTTTTCATTTTTTTTAAAGGTGTTTTATAAATAATTAAATTAATATTCAATTACAAATGAGGCCAGTTATAGCGTGTTGTAGACCATTTAAAATATATCATAAGCAAAAATGTAAACTTATCATAATATTATATCACAACTGCGTTTTGCACCTGGCGCGAATATTTATTGCGTCTTGTTTGTCTGTTTTGCATACAGTTATTAATACTGAGCGCGTAATTTGAACCTATTATACGTATAAGAAGCTGTTATTTTGTACTTATATTGAATTATTCAAAATTTAATTATGTTTTGTCATACTTTATTTGAAATTTTACGAGATTTTAATTTAAGTTGTAGTAAATATTTTGACCAATATTATTTATAATAGTGCAAATTATCAATTTGAAGAAATATTATATGTATTTTGAAACTAAACGACAGATTCAAAGAGTAAAAAGCTTTCAAAATATATATTATAAAATTATTTTTAAACCACGTGATGAATCATACCTCTTGCTATTTTTACAATTGAACAAAAATTAGGTTGACTTAGCCTTTTCATTTAATTAAATTATTTTTTCATGCTTGTATTTCGATTATTTTGGCACTAAAACCATGAAGCAGAGATACGCGAAGTTGCCAAAAATAATTTTGTTTGTTGCAAAATAATATATCGGTAATTCGAATGTATTATTTTTTAATTGGCTTGATTAGTCTTAGACATTATACTTGTTTATCTATGCTTTGCTTTTGTTCGATACATGAGAGAATGGTGCAGTTTTATAAAATATTTATTTGTAATTCTATTAATTCTTTTGTGAAATATTTTTAAGTATATTTGATAACTCTGAAACATTAAATCTTTCTCTATCCGTTATGTGTTTCTCTATCATTAGCTATCTAAAATCGTTTATACCATCCCTAAATGATATTACAATTTTCTGATTCATGTATAAATATAAAAATGATCTTGTCCACTTTATGTTTTAAGAGTGTATTTATGCGAATGATAAGTGCTATCATCGAAGTAGAGAGGTATTACATAAAATTTATTTAACGATTGTCTGATTATTTCAATGAGAGTTTAGTAATAATTGGTGTATTACTTTTTGCAATTTTTGAGATATAACTTGTTAACTTCCCGTAGGGTAAGTTATTGTAATGGGCCGAAAATCGGAATTGAAAATTTTTACATTTCTCGACGTTTTGAAGGTTTCTGAACGTTTTGGCATACCTCAGAAAAAATGGATGTGTGTGTGTGTGTGTGTGTGTGTGTGTGTATGTATGTATGGATACAAATTTTCGCCCACGTTTTCGGGCGTACGGATCAACCGATTTGAATGGTTTAAAAAACATTCGATTCCTATTAATAAGGAGAAGAGCTGATTAGTTTTTGGAAAAGACAGGTCCAGCAGTTACGGAGATAAGGAGCAAAGAGTGCAGAAAATAGAAATCGAGTTTTTGAGAGAACGGAGCATCCGATTTGAATGATCTAAAAAAACATTCAATTAGTAATGATTGGGAGAAGGGGTTATTAGTTTTTTGCAAAGGCAGGCCCAGCCATTACGGAGATACAGAGCTAAATATACAAAAAATGGCAGTTTTTAAGAGAACTAAGCGTCCGATTCAATTGATTCAAAGAACTTTCTGCTTGTCTTAACAAAATAATTGATTTTGAAAAAAAAAAATTTGTACCATTTTTTTTTTTTTTTTTTAATTTTTTGTATATCGAAAATAATTCAGATTTTATTTTTAATACTGACTATAGTTCTAATATACTTTAAACAAATAATTTCAACTCTGCAATTCAGTTTATATAATTCTTATAAATATTAGACAATGTTACAATATTTATAATAATCTATTTGAAAACATTCAATATTCCTCGAACATTTCGTTACGGTACGGGAAGTTCCAGCAATTTGCCTTAAGGCACGATGCCACCCACCCCACTAGTTTATTTAAATTGTTTGAAACGTTTAGTCATTATGTGAGGAATTAGTGACAGATACCTGTGTTAATTAATTTTTTTGTAAAAATTGTTACCAACAGTTGTTGCAAATATAACAAAATGTGGGCGGCTTTCAGAAGGATTTTTTCAATATTTATAACATTTTATTTTAGAGTAAGATTTTATTGCGAGGTTTTTAACAAAGAATCAACAATAAATTGTACATGTAAAATTTTCTTATATTGAAATAATATTGTAATAATTTTCGTGATCGCATTTGTGTGATAATATATAAAGTGACATATATTATAGTAATCTCTGTCTTACCTGCCACTTTTCGTAATGACCATCTCGGTGCCAAGTTTATGAAATTTTTCCCAAAGATCTTTTCCTTCTAAAGTGACCTTCGGTTCGTCGACGACACCATCATCTTCAGGAGGCATTGCCCGAAGTGGCGGCCTAAGAAGTGCAGGATGATGGTGCGCCGAATGATGTGCCGCTACCGCCGCTGCTAAGACGACATCCTCGGCTGTCGTGTACGGACCGCCGGCGGCCGCATGATGCGCGTGTTGATGCGGATGTAACTTCGGAACTGGGTAGAGAGCGGCTAAAGCAGCGGCCGGAAAACCGCCAGGGTATGCTCCAGCCGATGGCGGGCTTGCGGGACCGACTCCGCCGCCCGCCGAATTAACTCCACCGCCTCCAGCCGCGTTTGTGGCACCCGGACCGCCTGTCAGCAACGACGTGACACTAAAATCCGTCGGCCGAGGCATCTGCATGAACGGATGCTGATAAGCCATCACACCGCCGGCTGCCGCTGACTCGATATGACGGCGGTCAAAATGATCGGCGTGTCTAAGCGTGTCGTATCGCATCACTTGCGCGAGGTTCAACAGCGACTCGACGCGGTATATTACACATTTATAAGATAACCAACCGCAAGTCACAAAGATTGTCTTGTTCTATTTTGTCTCTATAATTCACTTGAAACAGTTACTCTATTTCATAATAATTGTTCGCACTATTAATTTCATTCTCTCTAATAGTCACCACGGTCAAAAATGTAATTCAAATTATTTTTTAATTTAATTACCTATTTTATCTATTTTAAACATAAATTTGTTCATGTCACCACATTCATAAATCAACATGGATCACAATAATTCTGCTTGAATGATCACTAAAATATATTTAATCGTCACTTTAGCACAGATTTGTCACTAGCAGCTTATAATTGTCACACACTAGTTCTTTCCATTCACAGTTCATTGGCACATTTTATGTCAATCTTCCGCAATTTATCTGTAATTTAAAAAAAATATTCTCATAAAATTTTTAATATTTAGCAATTATAATACACACAAACGAACGAACGATCGCGATCCGCAAGCAAAAAGCCACCGTGTGAATTTAAACGATAGCGTACACTGCGGGTTAGATTAGAGAGATCGAGGCGCGCGCAAACGAGCTGCTCGCAACACTTCCGAAGCGCGGGACCGTGGCAGTCACACTGTCGGGCCCCCGAAAGCGTCGTAGCGCCAACGCCCGGAGTGATAATGATAGGACGCCATTGGCCGTAGCAGCGCCAATGACACTTCGGCCAAGGCGTGGCCACCAGGACACCTCACTTTGTTTTATCTCTCTTGTTCGACGCCTCGACGCCACGTGAAAGCGTAGCGACTCTCACTACTCCCTCCGGCCCGACGGCCGAGCTCTTTATCACTCTGGCGCAGCGATCGCGCTCGTCTCTTTCCCGCTCGCGCAAACGCCGGATCTCGCTAGTGTGAGTGCCGATGTATCGGAGAGACGCGCACTCTGGCAAACCGCGAAGTGTTAATGTAAACGCATTCGAATTTAATTAAATAGAATATATACACCGGCGGATGGTGGATTTTGCCGCGGATTGCTCGTTTCGCGTGCGTGACGACAGGACCGGAATGAAAATCTTGGGAAGTTACGAACAAAATCTTTTAACGCAACTTAGACAATTCACTTTCAACGCGAAACCGATATTTTACATGTTTTATGAATTAAGGGCCAAGATGTAAATAACCATTAGAGTACTGCATCTTTAATAATAAAATTTACACCTTGGCTATCATGAAAAAAAAAACAAAATAGAGTTGTATAAGTGCGTTATAAATTTCACAGAGTTATAACATAAAATGTTGTTTTATACAAGCTAAAATAGACCAATCATTGTTTTCTTTTATATTTTGTTACGAATGCATCACGCATACATTAAGCCTATTGACATAAGGGTTGCGGATCGTTTGTGAATTAAATATAAGCATCTATATAATATATTTCAACATAGCTTACTACGTTCACATATATCAGCGAACTAAATCTACAAATATAATCCGATTAGCGATCTGTTGATACGAGCAAATGAACACGCATAAATCAAGTACTTCGAATTCACTCAGTGTGGCGTGGAATGTTAATTAGTGGCTGTTCTTTAGTAAGTTTTTGTTAGAATTAAAGCTAATTATTTGCCATGAGAACACGTGATAAATTATTTGTACAATTATAATGTATTCTTTGACGCTGGATAATTACATCGGTGGATTCCGCGTAAACGTAGGAAAGGCATATATAATAACACATGCCTCGTATCTGCATTTATCGTAACCAATTACCTGTGCATTTTCTCACTATTCTTTTGTTAAATTGAATCCGTGCCAAGTGCCCGTTTATTATAATAAATTTAGTTAGCAATTGTATAACGCTGTGCAGTTGGTATTTCAGAATAAATTTTAATAAATACTGAGGTTAATATATACCTTATTTTCCATGGTTTCTTTTAAAAAAATCCATAATTGTGATTCGAGCTATTTTTTATTCCACAGGTTATCTTTATATTTTTTGCATTTACAGAATGAATTCACAAAATTGTCAAAGTGTTATAACTAATGTACGATTAAAAAGATACAAATAATATAGCAATTAAATAATAAAAAATTACCAATTGAAAGTGGATGTCATCACTGTATCCGTTTAACACTACCAGCACTAAATAACAAGCGCACGTGGTGAAACTAATATATTTCATATATATTCACACAGACTGTACTTTGCCGTATTTTCATAATTCGGCAATTTTTCGGCATAAACTACAAACGAATTTTCTAAATTGCTAGCGCAGCTGCGCGGCACAGTGTAGAAGCGAGCACAACACTCGCAAAGTGTCGCTACGTTTGCGCCGCGCCGATCCAGCCAAAAGGACGTACGCGTGAAATTTTGCGCGATGTCGCCGCGAGATCCGCACACCACTAACACAGATGTGGAGAATACATACACATTCACATCATTTTACTATTTCATTTATGTATTAGAACAGATTTATACAAGCAAACAATCAACTCATACAGCTGTGTTACTAAACGCGGCTTCATAATCACGCACATTCGTGATGAACTAGGGATGGTAATAATGGAAATAATGGAAATAATAATTTTAGTATTTTACTTCAATCTGTAATAACTTAGTAAATTAGGCGATTTAACAAGGCTTTTCAAAAATTGTTATAACAAATATAAAACATACAACAAAAGTTGTTCTTCGATTTTTAAATTCTACATGCTCGCTATACGTAGTGATGTGAATTTTAAATACAGCCCCATCATATTATGCATCAATATTTTGTTTATATGAACATAAAATTGTATCCTTGTAAACTGTGTGTTAAGGGACTTTTCCGTAATGTGTCATACGATTAGTATGAAGCAAATTTTCATTATCCATTTTCGAGGTGTGTTACACCACTTTTGAATACAAACACACATACTGCGGTATCACTAAATCCCTCTAGTCACTGACTGTCACTTACACGCTCTTCCACACATTCGAAACACTCCTTCACAAACGCAAGTCTCTAAACACACCAACACATTAAGCGTTACCGACTAGCCCCACTCCATGAATTTTGACACCGGTTGGGGCTGTGGTGGGGTGTCACTGGGCGTGGCGACACTTACTTTAGTCACCGTCAATCCAAAGGTGGGGGATAGTGGTCGCAAAAGCTCCGCCCCATCGGCGGTCGCTGCTATAAAGGTTTTATTGCTGAAACTCACACCACCCTGTCTCACCGAGAGTATATCGGATTTGTGTCGTCATCCCTTATGAGGGCGAGTGTGAGATTGCACAGTAATACTCTGCGGTTGCGTAAGAGGTGAAGAACATCGAAAGTTAGAATTTAAGAAAGTCAAGATCATGTTTTGTGTTTGGATTATCAGAAAAATCTGATTGTTGTTTGTTATTCAAAAATGGTAAAGGAGAGAAGGTTCTCGAATTATCCAGAAGTATATAACATCATCCTATAAACTTAAAGAAATGATTTATCCTGATTGTCTTTTTAAATAAAATATAAATAAGTTGCAAGTGACAATTATGCAATCTGATAAACCATACCAGATAATGATGGTATTAACAAAAATAGTATTTACTAATTTAATTTGCAGTAGATTTTAAATAACTAATCATTTCAGATTATTTACTTTATTTTATTATTGTATTACAAATATTCATGCTTATTTAGCCTGTTTAATTAAAAAGAACAAATTTTAGGATCACATAAGGACCAAGTTCATATTTCTGATATTTGTCATATTTATTCAAGAGTCTCTTGCCAAATTTTATCTCAGTTCAATTGAAAAAAACAGTCCAAACTTGCCTAAAAATTTTTTTATTTTAATAGTTTTTGACTATCTATTTCCAACACTTATGGTTTTGCACAAAGCATATATAGTCTTAGTCATCTCCTCTCATATTAGTCCATCCTTCAGTAAACCGCGAGTCAATAATGACACGTCCTGCCGCGTCGCGTCTGCGGCAAAAGCTCATCTTCTCGGTCCAGCTTTCGCCTAAGAGTGTACGCAGAGGCGCCAGTTCTCGGCGCTCTCGGTGTCGCTGGCAGTGGCCGCCACAGGCGCTGCTATCGCCACACTAAACACTCTCCATCGTGGAGGGGGTATCGATCGAAGGGCGGTCTGTATTTTGTGAGGAAGGGGCACTGCGAAGAAGAGACAGTCGAACAAGTCGCAGGATGATCTCTCTATTTGAAACTACCGAGAGAAACAAGGACACAGGCTGTTTCAAGTGACAAGAATGAGGAGTGTTCTGGAGCGGTTTGAGGATGGTGTGTCTTGAGGTGGCGCGTGCAAGAGACACTTACACTTAACAGTTTCGAATGTGTTTGTGCAGTTGAATAATGTGCGTATACGTGCATGCTGAGATTACTACTACTTTATATTTAAACGAAAATATGAAGTTTTATTAAAATATGAACGTACAATAATATAATATACTCAAGATTTACATAGAGTCACCTGATAATAATACTCCGAGGACAGAAACGGTTCAACTAGTTCGTTGGTAATTAGTTCATAAGTACATCCTTGATCCTGCTTATATGTATTAAGTCAGACTCGATTTCAATTGTTTCTGGTTATAAAATCTTAACCATTACCAATTGTTAATATTTTTTTTAAACTCAGTTTTATTTAGCAATCAGAAATACATAAAGATTCCTATGAGCTAAAATGACAATATTTTAAGAGCGATGCCTAAGAAGAACTCCAATGAGAACTTTTCAGTTTTACAATTATATGATATTATATTAGACCTAATCGAAGACTAAGTCTAAAGGCCATTTTCGTTTCAATCTCCTCATTCCAAAAGGTTGAGTAATGTCAACCATAGAAGGGTTCGAATGTGAGTTGTATTTTTCCTTGTTAATTGCACCGTTTTCATATTGAGGTCGCTGTGAATGATTTCATTTGTCACTTACCACGGAGAA